CCCCTCACACTACGTTATAGTCAGGGGTTCATTCCCTCACACTGCGTTATAGTCAGGGGTTCGTTCATTCCCCTCACACTACGTTATAGTCAGGCGTTCATTCCCTCACACTACGTTATAGTCAGGGTTTCATTTCACCTCACACTACGTTATAGTCAGGGGTTCATTCCCCTCACACAACTTTATAGTCAGACGTTCATTCCCCTCACACTACGTTATAGTCAGGGGTTCATTCCCCTCACACTGCGTTATAGTCAGGGGTTCATTCCCCTTACACCACGTTATAGTCAGGGGTTCATTCCCCCCACACTACGTTATAGTCAGGGGTTCATTCCCCTCACACTACGTTATAGTCAGGGGTTCATTCCCCTCACACTGCGTTATATTCAGGGTTCATTCCCCTTACACCACGTTATAGTCAGGGGTTCATTCCCCTCACACTACGTTATAGTCAGGGTTTCATTCCCCTCACACTACGTTATAGTCAGGGGTTCATTCCCCTCACACTACGTTATAGTCAGGGTTTCATTCCCCTCACACTACGTTATAGTCAGGGGTATATTCCCCTCACACTGCGTTATAGTCAGGGGTTCATTCCCCTTACACTACGTTATAGTCAGGGGTTCATTCCCCTCACACTACGTTATAGTCAAGGGGTTTCATTCCCCTCACACTACGTTATAGTCAGGGGTTCATTCCCCTCACACTGCGTTATAGTCAGGGGTTCATTCCCCTTACACCACGTTATAGTCAGGGGTTCATTCCCCCACACTACGTTATAGTCAGGGTTCATTCCCTCACACTACGTTATAGTCAGGGGTTCATTCCCCTCACACTGCGTTATATTCAGGGTTCATTCCCCTTACACCACGTTTTTATAGTCAGGGGTTCATTCCCTCACACTACGTTTATAGTCAGGGTTTCCTTTCCCTCACACTACGTTATAGTCAGGGTTTCATTCCCCTCACACTACGTTATAGTCAGGGTTTCATTCCCCTCACACTACGTTATAGTCAGGGGTATTCATTTCCCCTCACACTACGTTATAGTCAGGGTTTCATTTCCCCTTACACTACGTTATAGTCAGGGGTTCATTACCCTCACACTAACGTTATAGTCAGGGTTTCATTCCCCTCACACTACGTTATAGTCAGGGGTTCATCCCCTCACACTGCGTTATAGTCAGGGGTTCATTCCCCTCACACTACACGTTATAGTCAGGGGGTTCATTCGTTATAGAGTCAGGGTTCATCACACTACGTTATAGTCAGGGGTTCATTCCCTCACACTACGTTATAGTCAGGGGTTCATTCTACGTTATACCTCATTCCCCTCACACTGCGTTATAGTCAGGGGTTCGTTCATTCCCCTTACACTACGTTAAAGTCAGGGGTTCATTCCCTTACACTACGTTATAGTCTGGGGTTCTTTCCCCTCACACTAAGTTATAGTCAGGGGTTCATTCCCCTCACACTACGTTATAAATCAGGGGTTCATTCCCCTCACACTACGTTATATTTAGGGGTTCATTCCCCTTATATTACATTATAGTCATGGGTTCATTCCCTTTACACTACGTTATAGTCAAGAAATCGAATAAGAATAGGAAGCATTTTTATATGTATATAAATGGATAACTTTCACGATATTAATCTATTAGTACAAATGTATGTATATCATTAACCGATCGTATTCACGATTTATCTGGCTAACTTGTTGCAGAGATATTCCATCGAATTTAAGAATAACATTACACCAGGGATGTATATATTACACATACTTATATACATTCCTGATTTACAAAGACCGTCAGACAAAGTTGTAGAAATAGCGCACGTTCAACTTAAAAGTTCAATGCTTATAGATCAAAGTTAAACCTGCATTCCTCCAGATGAGCCGAAATAAATGCATTCAAGAAAATCAAACTTGAGAAAAATGTACAAGCGATTAAAGACCGATTTTGCAGTATTCAGCACCATATTTTTCCTGCGTGACAGTAAGGGCTATTTCTGCATATTTTTACCTCATTTTGGTAATTTACGTGGATCGTAACTTCAGTTAAGAAAAAAATTACAGGCAAATAAAGAAATTTGAAAAATAAACTCTCTATGAGCAATTTGACTTCAAATGCGCACTTTACATGCCAGAAGAAGAACAGAACAGAACAGAACAAGTCATATATTTCATTTTAGACGTGTTCATTTGACAAGTAGACGGTTATACAAAATGTATATACATATTTTTTCGAAAATTGCCGCAAGACATAATGACGGCGGACGTGTGAAAAGTGTAATCTGTAATAATTGCTTCAGCGAAAATATATGAGCTGGCGAAACAACCATTGTTTGCGCAATATAACTGACAATAGATCATAAAAATATCATTTCCTGTGGCTGTTATTTATTTTGCACATTGTACATTAAATAAATGAGTAAAAATTATTAAATGTGACACTTTGAAGATATTAGGTAAATAAATGCATTATTTGTTGACATACTTAATGCATTAAATATACTCCACTCACGAAATTATACGTTTTTGTTATTGTCATTTTGAACGAGCTAGAATATGTAATGTTTTCGAGCACGTGTTGTAATGTTTTCAGACTTACAATGTGACAAATGAGATTATATCTCTGTCCAAACTAGTACTTTATATTTCATGCTATAACTTTATATTAGATTAAACTTTTTAGTGCCTATGTCATTCTATTTCCCAGGTAGTACTTTTTATTTGGACTGATATATTAGAGCGGCAATGTATTTTTATGTCCAAATTAGTACTTTATATTGGGAGCCAACGTCAGCCTTTGTCCAAGCTCGTACTTAATATTGGGCTGATATATAAAAGTGCCAATGTCATTCTATGTCTAAGCTAGTATTTTATATTGGGCTGATAGATAAGAGCTCCAATGTTATTCTATGTCTAAGCCAGTACTTTATATTGGGCTGATATATAAGAGCTCCAATGTTATTCTATGTCTAAGCTTGTACTTTATATTGGGCTGATATATAAGAGCTCCAATGATATTCTATGTCTAAGCTCGTACTTTATATTGGCCTGATATATAAGAGCTCCAATTTTATTTTATGTCTAAGCTTGTACTTTATATTGGGCTGATAGATAAGAGCTCCAATGTTATTCTATGTCTAAGCCAGTACTTTATATTGGGCTGATATATAAGAGCTCCAATGTTATTCTATGTCTAAGCTTGTACTTTATATTGGGCTGATATATAAGAGCTCCAATGATATTCTATGTCTAAGCTCGTACTTTATATTGGCCTGATATATAAGAGCTCCAATTTTATTTTATGTCTAAGCTCGTACTTTATATTGGGCTGATATATAAGTGCTCCAATGTTATTCTATGTCTAAGCTCGTACTTTATATTGGGCTGATATATAAGTGCTCCAATGTTATTCTATGTCTAAGCTCGTACTAAGTATTGGGCTGATATATAAGAGCGTCAATGTCAGTCTAAGTCCCAGCAAGTACTTTATATAGGGTTGATATTATTGTGACACTCAGTCTAAATCCCAGCTAGTACTTTACATAGGGCTTATGTATAAGAGCGCCAATGTTATTCTATTTCCAAGCGAGTACGTTACATTGGACTGATATAATATGGAATGATGTTGTCACTTATATATTATACCAGTCCAATATAACGTACTCGGAATATAGAGCACAATATAAAGTACCAGCTTATATTGGGCTCTATATTCTGGCTTTTACTTGAATTATATTGGATTGACAATATAGTATCAGTGTCAAACTTTAAAGTAGTATACACTGTGATATTACCATACATTTCTGGAAATATTATTATCTATTTATCATCGTTATAAGCCTGTTCTGACTTTCTAAACTTTTGTACCGATAGTTTTCAAGCAGACGACCATGACCCCCGTGTCCGCCATATAAAGCGATGTTTCCAATATATAACCCAATTTCCGTTTATGACAGTAATGATCTTCCATACAGAAATCGGTCACATATGGACATAGAAGTTAAAAATCCTATCGAACGTTCCTGTATAAAACAATATTCGTGTTATTTTTATTAACACATATGTCAAAATGACAATTAATGGCGAATCGTGACATGGATATTATTAATTTATTGTTGGTCACTAATTATTATATCTACCGTTATACCTTAGTGACCCCGATTCGTAATGCTTTCTGCACAGTCGATTAATAGTGACCACTGAATAAATGGGCATTTCTTATGCGAGATTTTTTCAAATGTATGATAATGACATTACTTTTTTGTTGACGGAAATGTCTATATCTGTTAGGATATGAAGATTGTAAGCAACTTAATATTGCTTATTTATTCATCCTACATTATAACAGAATAATAAGTGAATTTGTCTATCATGGAAGCTCTGTAATATAAAATAGATAATTATGTTCATAGCAATACTGCTTTATAATATCAGACATAAATAACATTAGTGTGTTTTTATTCCTTTTTTGAATTCACGTTTTTTTTCACGAGTTTTCTGGAGGCCGCGTTGTTACTTTTATTGCATTAAGTAACGGAACTGAATGCATACATTTTCTGTTACATCGCGAAACAAATAAGTTCTTTTAAAATTCTTAATATTTCTTTGTTTCTGTTCTATAACTTTAGTACTGCCAGAGCCTTTTAACCTTGTAAAATGTATAGATTTATTAATAACATTCTTGTTTTGGGTCAAAATTAGGTCAAAGATTACAGTTACCTTGACCTTGAACTGTCTCGTAACAAAGTATGTGAGCCACAACCAATGAAATTATTTTTTCTTAATATTTAGATACCGGTATTCCCTAGACTTTGTTCGTCAGATGGTGCATCAAATATTGAAAGTATCAATGTTCAATGTTCCACTTCGTTGATTTGTCGTCTGTTCAAATAGTCTCTAAACTTATGTTGTTTTTTGTAGCTAAGGGATATTTGTTATCAATTTTCTGCGCAAATTTAAAATAAAAAATCTGACATGTATATTTACAGGATCCGGTGGTGTCTCGTTTTCATACAGTATGTAGCTCTGTGTGGAGCTTTCACCACTTCACAGCCCGCTAATACATGGGGTGGCGGAGGAATAGATCCATTTTTCGGGGCCTCATGGTGGAACCAACCAAACGCGGGTAACATGTTTCAAACGGCGACACAAATGCCGGAAAACATTTTTGTGGCTCCCGTTAACGTGCCGGCTATCGAGCCACTTGTACCTGCTGAAACCCCGGCACCCGAACCACCAACATACGAAACGGCTACACCTATAAAAGTGACTAAACCCGTCATAAACACCGTGCCGACAGAATCATCCATTTCATTACAAGATCTCCTCAGACTTGCTGTTGGAGGATTAGCTCAACAGGCCAAAGGCGCTACAGATGTTATATCTAGCATGTTTTCAGGAAGTACGGGTTCTGCGGATCCAAAACCAAAGGTACCTGATACAGTACCATCTGGTAGTGCTGTAGGTACGCAAAAATTCGTTACTACGGCTCCACCAGCAAATATTCCAAAAGAACAGATCAAAGAAGTTCCAACAACAAAGTCAAGCACAACAACAACTACTTCTACAACTTCTACTACAACAACAACAACAACACCAAGACCGACAACCACTACCACTACGACAACAGCAAGACCAACAACAACAACAACCAAGGCTCCTGTGGTCTTGAAAACAGACAAGCCATTGACACAAATGACGCTTGGTGAAATACTGAGGCTACAATCAAAACTGTACCCGGAAACAAAACAACCTATTGAAAAGGTAAATTATTCAGCTGAAGATTGCTTTGAACAGCATTAGCATTTTCTCTGCCCATTCCATCAAACTTGTTCAATTAAAGTCAAACGGAAGCACATCTATTGGATAATGGCTAAGTGTTCCGAATGTAAACTCTTAACAGGATATACATCGGAACACCTCGGCTATTGTTCGAAGTTTGACGGAAAGAGCCGGGAAGATGCGATTGCTTAAAAAAAATCCCTAAATGGCAGACTTGAGAAAGTTATTGGCTTCCTTCTTTCTATCGTAAATTATCTGACCTATATTTTATTAATTCTGACAACATTTCCTTTTTTGTCATATTGGTAGTATTCTGACCTCATTTGTTTAACAGCATAGCTGTACAACATATACACGTATAGACAATTCCTTATAATGCTTAAATTTTACCTTGATTGAAATGACCTTTCATGACCTCTTGTTTTATTTAGATTCTTTTTACTGAATATTTCTTTTGGACGTTAAACTGTTATGATGAGTTCGGTAGTTTCTTTTGAATGACAGCTCCTCAGTGTATTTATGTCAAGTATAAATTAACATAACTATACGTTAATGATAAAAAAATGAGCTCAGCTTCCTGTCGCGTGACCATATTAATACGAATATTTGGCGTATTGTTGTGGTTATTTTTCGGGCAATTTGTCTCCATATTTTTGCTTATTTCTGTAAAGTTGATAACAGAATAACAACATCAGTCCTTTAATGTCAGTTGGGCATCCGTAGGCGGGTACTTAAGGTCGTTGACTTAAAACCATTTGCCTCCAGTCGCTGTAAGTGCGAATCCCGACAGCTTACGGAACGTCGGTAATAATACTCAGGTGCCCGCTGGTGTCTGAAATAATGCACTCAAGGGCACTCGAGGTCTCCCTCTCCCTTTCAGTAAAGCTAGAAAGCTGAAAATGGAAGATATTAGTTTTTGAAGTCATCAGTGGTTTAATACGATGGAGCTTGACTAGGCTCTGAACAATTGGCTTATCAACTGTTATTTGAGCCATGTCACGACAAAACCAACGTAATGCATTTGCGACTAGCATGGGTCCAGACCAGCCTGCGCATCCGCGCAGTCTGATCAGGATCCATGCTGTTCGCTATCAGTTCCTCTACTTGTTATAGGGTTTGTAAGCGAACAGCATGGTCCTGATCAAATTGCGCGGATGCGCAGGCTGGTCTGGATCCATGCTGGTCGCAAACCCATTATGTTGGTTTTGTCGTGACGCGGCTCATTTATTTTGATTTTCAAAGAAAATGATCATGGATAGCTCCAAAAATGAGAAAAGTCTATTCAGTTGATACAGGGTTAAAGTGACCCCAGTGAGTTTGTTTTTCTTTTTTGATATGATGGAACTGGAAGTATTTTTTCGAGATAATTGTTCCATTTGATATAGATCTAGACAAATAACTTGTGTGCAAAATTCCAGATCATTTGCTCACTCCCTTTTTACCAGAAATATTATTCTGTGAAAAATGATCCAAAATTGAAAAGCGTTGCAACGGTTTTCACTCCAATCGTGATAAAATAGCACATAAATACGATTTTCAGTTTATTATGAGTTTACATGTATTTTTTTAAACATCTTTTGCATATATCTCTGATTTAATTGCCCCAGTTAATCTATGTAAGAAATTCAAATTTTATGAATTAGGCTTTAAGATCTCAGTGGTGATCCTAACAAGTAATAACATAAGAAATAGCATTGCTTTAAAATATATATGTCTTTTCTCATTTTAGACTTTGCTGATCGTTGCTTTAATGTTTAAACTGATTATACGAAATAGCACCATGCAACACGAGAGAAACCAACTAAGTAATAAACTTTAACCTAATTATACAGAATAGAATACCATTGACCATTATTAGCCAAACTTTATTTAAGATAGAAGTAATACCCGCAAAATCGCGGCATATTTGACACTGTGCTTTAATTATCGGGAATATATGTACAATGTAGTCAAAAATGCATGTTTCTGAAAGTTGGTGATTTTCTTTCATTATATGACAGAATTCTACATAAAATTATGAAGTTTTTGTTATTTGAATTACAAATATTTCATGGGAAGACGAAATGATGTCGCTTTAGACAATTTAATTTCTTCACGTTGCCACATATATAAAACATTATCTCATTCTTTCTGACTCTTTTCGTCATTTGTTATGACAACCCAACATTTATTATCTCTGCAATTATAAACATAAAAGACATTAACAAAAATAATGAATACTTTCTTACATAATTAGTAAAATATGAAGTTAGTATGTGGATAAAATATTCTCATTAATTTGTTTATTACAAAACATGTTTATCATGACAAATACAGGGCATATACATGTACATGTAGTTAAAACTAGCATAGCATTTTATAGAATAAAAGTTTAAGATTTAAAATGAATGTATGTGACTGGCTTATTTATCCTGATTTTAAAAATAAAGTTTCAGTGCATTAAGATTGCACTAGAAATCAACGAATCTGTTTCAAGTCAAGAATAGAGGCACCTGTGTTAATTTCCGCACTTGTTATGGGTTTTGAACAGCTTTCATGTTGATTAAATATAATACTTAATTCGAAATTTCTTACTGATAATCAGTTAGAACATTACCGAAGGGTGACGGAAAGGTTCGAAATGTTGCGATTGCTCCGGGGTTACCCCAAGTTTTGTGCATTGTTTCACCCTTCAAAGCAAGCCTGTAACTTAGTCAATGTTTTTCATGTAATCTCCAACTTATCAGAATGTCTGTCTGTTTCTCTAAAACCAAATACTTGTAAATATTATTAACGTACGCAGCAAAGTAATTTTGCATGTTTATCTTCTTTTGCAGAAAAGCGGCAGACCGCGTGGTTGTCATTTCAAAGGTAAATTCTATGAGCCTCTTTCTGAAATTGAGAAAGGACAAACCGGAAATTGGTGTTATGGCACGTATTGCAATCACGAAGGAACTGTGGTACATTGGGACGATCATAAATGTACAACAACACAGACTACACCTCCTCCAACACAACCAACCGTGCCAACAGCCCCCGTTACTCAACCAATGATTACCAATCCAGCACAAACGGGCGGAATGGCTAGTTTTATGAATATGGCAGGTATGTCCGGAATGAGTGGAGTAGGCAACATGGCTGGAATGAGTGATATGGCGCGTATCGCTGCAATGATGGCCGGAAATGCTGGATCAAACTCGGGCAGTGGAACTGGTACCAGTGGAACGGGTAACTCAGGAATGGGATGTTTCCACAATGGGCAGTGGTATCGTCCTGGTGCAGATATTGAAAACTTAAGAGACTATGGACGTTGTCATGGAAGTTATTGTAGTTTCAATTC